TATAACTCATTCAAATAGATAAATAAATCTTTTTAAAAAATAAATATATTGTTCATAAAGGCTAGGAATCAAATCATGTCATAATTCATTTGTCCTAAAGCAGGAAAGAGTTGCCACTTCAGTTTAAAATTTTACTCTGTTTATTTAGTGTCATTTTAACTTTTTGAAAGGTAGACAGAGAGACTGAGAAATAGACAGAGAAAGAGATAGAGATAGGTTTCTTTAATTTGCTGGTTTATTCCTCAAATGCCTATCACAGCCAGGGCTGGGGCAAATCAAAACTAGAAGCCTGGAACTCAATCTGGGTCTCCAACATGAGTGGTAAGGATCCAAGTACTTGAGTCATCATCTTCTACCTCCCAGAGTATGCATTAGCAGGAAGCTGACTGGAAGTGGGACTTGAACTAGGTACTCGGATGTGGCATGCAGATGTCCCAAGTACTGACTCATCCATTTCACCAAATGCCTGCCTCTCATTTTGTTTTTAAAATCACTTTTACTGAAGTATAATTTAAATGCAGCAAAACTCATCCTTTTGGTGTATAATTCTATGTGCTCTGAAAAATACATACACCATCTCAGGCAAGAGATTGACATGAACTACCACCACAAATCTCATCACTCAATTTTAATAGCATTATTTTAACATCAGCTTTGTAGACAGCATTCTATTACTCTCCGGTTGGTTTTAAATATGTTCCATTAATTCCTGCTATGAAAGACAAAGCAACAGAAGCATAAATACTTCTTCCCATCTGCCTTCTGCATCGCCTTTCCCATTTTTGTGAGTTACAGTATATGTCATTGTTAGCATATAAAACATTTACATTCTATGTTATTACCCTAAAATACACATTTGTTGTAGTTTTAATTCTAATTATATAAAAAACCTATTTCTCACATTTTCCAACTTTACCTCATCACTTAGTTTGCTGAATGCAAAACACTAAAATTCCTGACACACAGTGCTTAGTTAGTCTTAAGTAGAAACAGATGTAGTATTTAGTAAACCTATCTTCAACTAACTTTACCAATTGTTTTAGAAATGAATGAGTACCTCTAAATAACTGTAGAAATACTTGGCAATAACAGGAGGATAAATAGCTAAGTTACTGGCTGCTTGTATGTTTTTGGTTTGTTTTTAAATTAATTTTAGAGGTAGAAAGGCAGAGCGCTCCCAACTATTGGTTCACTCTTCAAATGTCTGCAATGGCAGATGCTTTGCCAGGGCTGGAGCTAGCAGCGAGGAACAGCCCATCCAGGTCTCCCACGTGGGTGGCCTGAACCCAGCCATGTGGGCCATCACTGCAGATTTCCAATACCTGAAATGTCAGGAAGCTGGAGCCAGGAATTGAACCCACGCACTCTGATGTGGGAAGTGAGCACCTTACCTGCTAGGCTAAATACCAGTTTCTTGGCTGTTATTTATAAAGCCTTTACTCCATGCCATGTGTATCTGTATGAGATACTTCAAAAACTTCAAGGAAAATGTGTGAAAATGTTGTGAAAAACTAGGTATGAATTTCAAACTGAAATACCACCATATAGTGAGACATAAACTGAACCTAAATTCATGTGAAAATAAAGCATAGTTCCATCATGTTTATAAGGATCTTCAATATTCTCCCTCTCTCATAGAGCAATTGTTATTTCTAAAATCTTTCCTTCAGAAATATTTAAAGGAAAACTGTGTTGTGTACTATAAGAATGAGCATCTAAACAACTGGTGATATTCATCAAGATATACTCAAATACACAAAGAGGTTAAACATTTCATGTTATTCTTTTATCTTGATTTTGTTAACAATTAACACTGAATAGCACGGTTATGCAGGTAGATGCTAACTTCTTTTCCATGTACTTCCAGATTACCTTAACATAAATATTAGCTATATAAAAATATGCAGAGGCCTATACTTGAACCTCCTTATTTATAGCTCTGATGATGGGAAATAGCTTCTGCCACTGTTAAAATGCTAAAGGTTCTTAATGAATTTTGCTAATTCAATTTAAGTGTATTAAGTTGCTGACAGTAAGATCAATGAATATCACCCTGGGAAGTATAAAAAGTTATTTGAATCTTTCCTGGAACTTCAAGCATCAAATTAAAAAAGTGCCCTATAATAGAAAAACAAAGCGGTTTAGTGAAGAGCATCTGAAGTCATAGATCTGAATTATAATAAAATAGCAAGCCATGGCTACGTAATGTGTGTCATCCAGAACATTTATGAGACTGTTTCTAAAACCTCAAAGGACTGCTGTGAGGATTATATCTGATAACAAAAATAAATAGAGAGTACATTATTTGGCAGGTAATAGACAATGAACAAATTATAGGAAATAGTGTTGTTAGTACTGGTGAAAGAAATCCAGTACAATTAGAGAAAGATATATCCAAGTGTCGCAAGATAAAACACATTCAAAAATTTTAGAGGCAGCTGTTAGACACACTGGAAAGATGCCATTTGGGATGGTCTTATACCTGGCTCTGCTTCCAATCTCAGCTTCCTGCTAATGCACACCCTCGGAGGTAGCAGGCGACAGCTCAGGTATAGCTGGGTCCCTGCTACCCATGTGGGAGCCCCAGACTTCCCAACTCCTGTTTCAGGCCAGTACGGATCTGGCAGTTGGAATCATCTGGGGAGCACACCACTGACCCAGGAGAGCCTGGCAAGAACACTTACACGCTGTCCTCCCGCACTAGGGGGAGCTAGGTTCATGGCACAGAACATGCACAGTCTTGAAATGGCTGCCAGAAATACAGCAATGAAAAAAAGATTAAATGGTATTATGAAAATAACTCTACTACTGTCCGAGAAAATTTTCTGAGTTTTATGCTTGGGCATTACTGACTTTTTTTTTAAAGATTATTTACTTGAAAGTCAGAGTTTCATAGATCAAGAAGGAGGAGAGAGGAGAGAGAGAGACAGAGATCTTCCATCTGCTGGTTGAAATTGGCTACAACAGCTGGAGCTGCACCGATCCGAAACCAGGAGCTTCTTCCAAGTCTCCCACGCGGGTGCAGCAGCCCAAGGATTTGGGCCATCTTCTACTGCTTTCCCAGGCCATGGCAGAGAGTTGGATTGAAAGAAGAGCAGCCAGGTCTCAAACCGGCATCTATATGGGATGCTGGCACTGCAGGCGGCGGCTTTACCTGCTACGCCACAGCGCTAGCCCTGGGCCTTACTGATTTTTAATTGTACCATAATTGCCAAACTAACTTCACTGAACACTGATGGGCAGGAGGCATGACTATGGTCAAGCATATTATGTTGCCAGTTCAAAATGTCCCTCTTCTCTATCTGAAAAGAAGCACAGAACAGAGGAGACAGTACACGAATCTACCATCAGATCAAATTTATTCATAGAAAAATTTGCAAAGGTGGGTGACCAACTGCTGGCATGCACATTGACAGAACACATGGCTCCATCACTATCCATTATCATCTAAGAGTTTGTCAACTGAACTCTGATCACGGAAAACATTTGTTGAACCTAAAGCTTTGAGAAAGGAAAGGTACAAGGAGAGGGTTGAACAAGGAGGGACAGATGCCATTCAATTCAACTTTAATGACTCAACACCTATGGTACTCTATATTCCAGAAGCTGTGGAACTCACTGAAGAATCAATAATAAGGAAAAATAATCCCTGCCCTGAATGACATTTTGTTTATATACAACTATTCACAGCAGAAGACCTATACACAGTCTTATTCTGAATATGTCATTAGTAAAATGAAATATTTTCCAGAAACTTGAAAAGAAAGCCTTCCTAATTTACTGGGATTCATTTATACACTGGTTGTGTATGCTGTACTCCAAAAACTTACTAGAAACCAGTCACTACTTTGATAGTCTCAATAAATCATACAGATGCTAGGTTTATGTAGTTAGATCAGGGAAAGTTCACCATTAAAGTGAATAATCTTGAAATTAGTATGAAATATGCTACTGGGAAAAAAGGAACTAAATGATATAAAGATTAAAAACAAAAAGAAGTTCCTGTTAGATTTCAATTTGAATATCGAAAAGCTTCCAAGTGGTCAGCATTGTGACATAGTGAGTAAAGTCACAGTATACAATGCCGGATCCCATATGAGCACAGGTTAGTGGCCCAGCTACTCAATAGTGATCCAGCTCCCTGCTAATGGTCTTGGAAGTGCAGCAGAGGATGGCCCAAGTGTTTGGGTCTGTGCTACCCATGCAGGAGACCTGGAAGAAGCTACTGGCTCCTGGCTTTGGCCTGGCTTAGCCCTGCCCATTGTGGCCACCTGGAGAGTGAACCAAAAGAAACAGATGGAAGATTTCTCTTTGTAGCTCTTTCAAATAAATAAATGAATATTTTTTTATTTATTTATTTTACTTGAAAGTGTTACACACAGAGAAAGGAGAGGTAGGTAGAGAGAGGAAGAGAGAGAGAGGGAGAGAGAAAGAGAGAGAAGTCTTCCTTCCACTGGTTCACTACCCAATTGGCTGCAACAGCCAGAGCTGCGCCGATCTGAAGCCAGGAGCCAGGAGTTTCTTCCAGGTCTCCCACGTGGGTGCAGGGGCCCAAGCACCTGGGCCATCTTCCACTGCTTTACCAGGCCATAGCGGAGTTGGATCGGAAGTGGAGCAGCTGGGACTGGAACCGACGCCCATATGGGATGCTGGCATTGCAGGCAGTGGCTTTTACCCACTATGCTACAGTGCTGGCCCCTAAATAAATATTTTTCAAAAAGCTTCCAAAACCTAGTCCTTAGGATTTTACTTAAAAAGAAAAAAAAAAAGCCTCTAATTATAGTTCTTGAGAAAACCATTAACTTAAGAGTGCTGTATGTCATACATAATGTTCTATTTTCAAAAATATAGTGAAGAATGCCTTAAAGTTTTTCTAATGGAAATATCTTTCATCTGTATTGGGAACTCTCTCAGTCATGCATAGGTTATTTGAAATCCAAAGGTTTATCTGGTTCTACTGGACTAAAATTAAATTATTAAGAGTAGAATTTCACACTCACCTGATCCTCCTTTTGTCAAGTATTTGCTCTTTGCATAAAGGACAGAATCCAACATAGACTCAAAAAGAAGAAAATAGCCCTGTATAAAAAAAGGAAAAGAGTAGATTTCAATAATGAATAAAATATGTAATATTTGCCACATCTGAAGTTACTTTAGGCATAAATTCTCCAAATAGTAATTTTTATAAAACCAGAGGACAAAGCAGACCCATCAAGTTCCTTACAGAAGAATACACTCAGTCTTCCTGTGTCTACCTTCCATACTACTATTTCTTCTTTGTTAAAAGGAAAATTGTAGAAAGAAATTGTTAGCAAACAGTATAGCTTCCTGGAATGTTGTAATGTTAATGTAGAGAAGCCATTTTCAACTATGCTCAACTATATTTTTCCTTGTCCCAAAATGTCAACAGCTCTAAGGCTCAAAAACCCTACTCTACAACAGCATTTCACAAAGTGTTTCCTGCCTTTTTTTTTTTTTTTTTGGTTAAAAGGTGTGGGGAGAGGTTTGAGAGTGGAGGGGAAGGAGGAGAAGGTCCTTAGTTAAAAGGTTTGAGGAACACCACATGCTACATGTGAGAGTCAAAGTTCACATCAACACAACAGAAGTTTTGAGTAGTATTATGGTAGAGAAATGCTGAACATGCTAGAACCCAGTATTGCCACTTTCAGAATACAGGATTCTCCCCCGCCCCCTTTTTTTTTTACCACTATCCACATTTTGCAGAACAAATGGTGCTTGAAATACAGTTCATGAAACATGATCCCAGTGTACTGCAGATTTTAAAGCACAGTAATGAATCATCTACCAAGAAAGGACAATAATCATACAAATAGAAAGAATCTGCTGCTACCAGAGTCACAAATACACTGCAACATAATAGTATGCTATACAGATTATTACTAAAATGACAAAATCATGACCTGAAGAGTCAGTGCCTGTTTCTTCTCATCTTTTGCTTTCTAGCATGCACTCCCAATCGCCTCCATGCCACAGGGAAGGTCAAGTGCTTAGCATACTGCTTAACACATAATACATCTTATTACTGCTTAAGGTGAACCAATATGAATTTTACCCTTAGCTTAGCATTCTAAATAAAAACTGTCCTCATCCAATCATTTGTTCCTCACATACCCAACTCCCAGATGAGATAAACACAACATTCTTTAACCAGGTGAACAAAAAATGTTGTAAGGGTTTCACTAGAACAAGAAAAAAATGAAACCTAGAAACCCAGAAAGGATAATCACCACAAGAGATTAACAGCAAATTTAAATTTATAGAAAATTCAGCTCTCATGCTTGAATCACTTATAAAGGAACTTAATTAAATTGCCACCAGCAACTCCACACTGGCTTTTACCTCCCCCTTCCTCCCAACAGTAATTCACTGATAAGAAATAACTGCCTGCAAAACAAAGCTTACTTATTAATGTGTTTATATTAGGAAACGTAAGGATTTGGTAGACACTGCTTTTTTGGATAGAATACTTCAATAATATGTCAAATTCTTAAAAGTTAGTTCTCCATTAATATCTGTGTATTCAAAGACCAAGGACTTTGCAGAATTCAACTAAGAAATCTTTATCAATCTGACATAATTTATGTAGATCTATGCACACAAATGCTTATAAACAGGCAATCATTCATTGATCAAAGTGAACTATAATTATTCTGAGGAATTACTAAAAGGTGGTTTATGGGAAAAAAATCAGCTGATCAAACATGTTAATAGAGACTGGTGTTATGACACAATAAGCTGCCCACGCATTGCTGGCATGCCATGGAGCGAGAGAGTCTTGGCTGCTCTGGTTTCCATCTCCTGCTTTGGCTTTTCCCAGCCCTAGCTATTGTGGGGGAGTGAACCAGTGGATAAAATATGTTTTTCACACTGTGTCTCTTCCTTTCCATTACTCTGCCTTTACAATAAATAAATCTTTAAAAAAGCAGCAGCAGCAGCAAATGATTACTTGGGCCCCTGACTCCCATGTGGGAGACCCAGATGGAACTCTGTGGACGCCTGGCTTCCGCCAGGCCTAGCCCCAGACATTGCAGCCATTTGGGTAGTGAATCAGCAGATACATTTCCTGGGAGGCAGCAGATGATGGTTCAAATAGCTGGGTCCTTTCCACCTACATCAGAGACGAGGATTTAGTTCCTGACTCCTGACTTCATCATAGCCAATCCCTGGTAACTGTGGGCATTTGGGGAGTGAATTAGTTGATGAGAGATCACTCCTTGTCAGTCTCTTTCTGCCTTTCAAATTCACACACATACACAGACACACACATTCATATTTTAAAAATAGTTTGAGGATAATGGTCAAATTAGTACCAATTCCAACTTGAGATTCCTACCAAGGATAATCAGGGATTTCCACCCCCTCCCTGCCATGGCAAAAACTCAGTTTCACTTAGTACTCTAAACTTTGGTATTTATGCTTACTTTCCCATATGTCTGCTTCCATTTGAAATAATAAACAATAACTATCTCCCCAAATACCCTATAATGAACATTTTTTTTTTTTAAGATTTACTTTACTTATTTGAAAGACAGAGTTACAGAGAGAGGTAGAAAGAGAGAGGTCTTCCATCCGCTGGTTCAATCCCCAGATGGCTACAACAGCCGGAGCTGCACCGACTCAAAGCCAGGCAGGAGATTCTTCCGGCTCTCCCATGTGGGTGCAGGGGCCCAAAGACTTGGGCTCTTCTACTGCTTTCCCAGGCCATAGCAGAGAGCTGGATCGGAAGAGGAGCAGCTGGAACTAGAACCAGTGCCCATAGGGGATGCCAGCGCTTCAGGCCAGGGCTGTAACCCATTGCGCCACAGCGCAGGACCCAGAATATTAGAAGAAATCAATAGAATTGAATTAAAAAAATTACAAAAGATCAGCAAAATGAACAGCGGTGTTTCAAAACAAACAAAATTTTGACACACCATTGGCCCAACTACCAAAAAATGGAGAGAGAAGACCCAAATCAATAAAATCAGAGAAGAAAAAGGGAATATAACAGACACCACAGAAATAAGGAGTCACCAGAAATTACAACAAAGAGTTTTTTGCCACCAAACAGGGAAATCTATCAGAAACGGATAGATTCCTGAACACATACAACCTACCTAGATTGAACCATTAATACACGGAAAACCTAAACAGACCCATAACCGAGTCAGAAACTGATTCAGCAATAAAGGCCCTCCAAACAAAGAAAAGCCGAGGACTGGATGGATTCACTGCTGAATTCTACCAGACATCTTTAAAAGAACTAACTCCAATTCTTCTCAAACTATTCAGAACAATTTAAAAAGAGGAAATCCTCCCAAATTCTTTCTATGAAGCCAGCATCACTTTAATTCCTAAACCTGAAAAAGATGTAGCAGAGAAAGAATTAAAGACCAATTATCCTGATGAATATAGACGTAAAAATCCTCAATAAAATTCTGGCCAATAAAATGCAACAAGAAATCAGAAGGATCATCCACCCAGACCAAGTGGGATTTATCCAGGGTATGCAGGGATGGTTCAGTGTTCGCAAATCAATCTATGTGATACACCACATTAACAGACGGCAGAATAAAAACCATATGATTATCTCAATAGATGCAGAGAAAGCATTTGATAAAATACAACACTCTTTCATGAAGAAAACTCTAAGCAAACTGGGTATGGAAGGAACATTCCTCAATACAATCAAAGCAATCTATGAAAAACCCACGGCCAACATCCTATTGAATGGGGAAAAGTTGGAAGCATTCCCACTGAGATCTGCTACCTGACAGGGATGCCCACTCTCACCACTGCTATTCAATATAGGTCTGGAAGTTTTAGCCAGAGCTATTAGGCAAGAAAAAGAAATGAAAGGGATACAAATTGGGAAGGAAGAACTCAAACTATCCCTCTTTGCAGATGATATGATTCTTTATTTAGGGGATCCAAAGAACTCTACTAAGAGACTATTGGAACTCATAGAAGAGCTTGGCAAAGTAGCAGGGTATAAAATCAATGCACAAAATCAACAGCCTTTATATACACAGACAATGCCACGGCTGAGGAAGAACTTCTAAGATCAATCCCATTCACAATAGCTACAAAAACAATCAAATACCCTGGAATAAACTTAACCAAGGAAGTTAAAGATCTCTACGATGAAAATTACAAAACCTTAAAGAAAGAAATAGAAGAGAGAACCAAAAAATGGAAAAATCTTCCATGCTCATGGATTGGAAGAATCAATATCATCAAAATGTCCATTCCCCCAAAAGCAATTTATCGATTCAATGCAATACCAATCAAGATACCGAAGACCTTCTTCTCAGATCTGGAAAAAATGATGCTGAAATTCATATGGAGACACAGGAGACCTCGAATAGCTAAAGCAATCTTGTACAACAAAAACAAAGCTGGAGGCATCACAATACCAGATTTCAGGACGTACTACAGGGCAGTTGTAATCAAAACAGCATGGTACTGGTACAGAAACAGAAGGATAGACCAATGGAACAGCATAGAAACACCAGAAATCAATCCAAACATCTACAGCCAACTTATATTTGATCAAGGATCCAAAACCAATCCCTGGAGTAAGGACAGTCTATTCAATAAACAGTGCTGGGAACACTGGATTTCCACGTGCAGAATCATGAAGCAAGACCCTTACCTTATATCTTATGCAAAAATCCACTTAACATGCATTAAAGACCTAAATCTATGACCCGATACCATCAAATTATTAGAAAACATTGGAGAAACCCTGCAAGATATAGATACCGGCAAAGACTTCTTGGAAAAGACCCCAGAGGCACAGGCAATCAAAGCCAAAATTAACATTTGGGATTGCATCAAACTGAGAAGTTTCTGTACTTCAAAAGAAACAGTCAGGAAAGTGAAGAGACAACCGACAGAATGGGAAAAAATATTTGCAAACTATGCAACAGACAAAGGGTTAATAACCAGAATCTACAAAGAACTCCAGAAACTCCACAAAAACAAAACAAACAACCCACTTAAGAGATGGGCCAAGGACCTCAATAGACATTTTTCAAACGAAGAAATCAAATGGCCAACAGACACATGAAAAAATGTTCAGCATCACTAGCAATCAGGGAAATGCAAATCAAAACCACAATGAGGTTTCACCTCACCCCGGTTAGAATGGCTCACATTCAGAAATCTACCAACAACAGATGCTGGCGAGGTTGTGGGGAAAAAGGGACACTAACCCACTGTTGGTGGGAATGCAAACTGGTCAAGCCACTATGGAAGTCAGTCTGGAGATTCCTCAGAAACCTGAATATAGGTCTACCACATGACCCAGCCATCCCACTCCTTGGAATTTACCCAAAGGAAATTAAATTGGCAAACAAAAGATCTCTCTGCACCTCAATGTTTATTGCAGCTCAATTCACAATAGCTAACACCTGGAATCAACCTAAATGCCCATCAACAGTAGACTGGATAAAGAAATTATGGGACATGTACTCTGTAGAATACTATACAGCAGTCAAAAACAATGAAATCCGGTCATTTGCAACAAAATGGAGGTATCTAGAAAGCATCATGTTCAGTGAATTAAGCCAGTCCCAAGAGGACAAATACCATATGTTCTCCCTGGTCGGTGACAACTAACCGAGCACCAAAGAGGAAACCTGTTGAAGTGAAATGGACACTATGAGAAACAGTGACTTGATCAGCTCTTGTCTTGACTGTTGATGTACAATTTAATACTTTATCCCTTTTAGTATTTTTTTTTGTTCTACTTAATACTATTGGTTGAACTCTGTAATTAACACACAATTATTCTTAGGTGTTTAAATTTAACTGAAAGGTGATCCCTGTTAAATATAACAGTGGGAATAAGAGAGGGAGGAGATGTACAATTTGGGACATGCTCAATTGGACTTGCCCCAAATGGGGGAGTTAGAAACATGCCAGGGGATTCCAATACAATCCCATCAAGGTGGCATGTACCAAAGCCATCTCACTAGTCCAAGTGATCAATTTCCGTTCACAATTGATCATACTGATAGGACTAAGAGTCAAAGGGATCACATAAACAAGACTAGTGTCTGCTAATACTAACTTGATAGAATAAAAAAGGGAGAGAACGATCCAACATGGGAAGCGGGATACACAGCAGACTCATAGAATGGCAGATGTCCTAAATAGTACTCTGGCCTCAGAATCAGCCCTCAAGGCATTCGGATCTGGCTGAAGAGCCCATGAGAATATTTTAGGCATGGAAAGTCAAGACACTCTGACAATAAAAAAAAAAAAAAGAGGACCTAAATGAAAGATCTCTGCGAATGAGATCCCAGTGGAAAGAACGGGCCGTCAAAGAAGGAGGTACCTTTCTCTGAAGGGAGGAGAGAACTTCCACTTTGACTATGACTTTGTCTAAATAAGATAGAAATCAGGGAACTCAGGGAGATTACTGACACCATAAACAAGAGTGTCAATTTGTTAAGTCAACAACAGGAGTCACTGTGTACTTACTCCTCATGTAGGATCTCTGTCCTTAATGTGTTGTCCAATGTGAATTAATGCTATAACTAGTACTGAAATAGTATTTTACACTTTATGTTCTGTGTGGGTGCAAACTGATGAAATCTTTACTTAATATATACTAAATCCATCTTGTATATATAAAGAGAATTGAAAATGAATCTTGATGTGAATGGAATGGGAGAGGGAGTGGGAGATGGGAGGGGTGTGGGTGGGAGGGAAGTTATGGGGGGGAAAAGCCATTGTAATCCATAAACTGTACTTGGGAAATTTATATTTACTAAATGAAAGTTTAAAAAAAAAAGAAATTTATGAAATACATTAATATACCCAGTTAAAATTAGCAAATGAAGATTCATCTATGTTTTGCTAATGGTCATTGTTCTTTCTCTCAACTTTCCACTTTACTAAACATCATTTTACTATAGGCTCCCTATGTGACAAATCAGCATTTAAGTTCCTGGGAATTGTCCTTGGTTCTGAACCAAATCATTTATACTGATATCAGGAGGCTTTCCTCCAAATGCTCAGCTCATCTGCAGCATAATTCAGACTGTAATTTCACAGGCTGCTGCCTCACCTGTAGGGGTGCCATCTGGAAGCAGAATTATACTGATATTTTCTCCCATGATGCTCTTGGGACAGTCATCTTTCAAAAATGTCAATTTTAAAAATTAAATATTGCATTTATATTCTAAAAATTAGTTACTAAATAGGAACATATGGAATTAAATTAGGGACAAGAATATTAACATTATTCATTGAAATGGAAACCCTAGTAGTATTTTTTAAATGTTGTTCATGAAATATTCATGTGACACATCAGTAATAAAAGAAACTTGATACTTTCAGCGTAAGGTATGTCTACTTTTTAGTTCAAATAGCTGAATTATCAATATACACCTAGGCAATATTTAGCTATGGAAAAATGAATCAAATAAAATGACGAGCTAATCTGCAAAAGACTGCTGACAATAGTTAATAAACCAGAATTATTTAAAGATAAAAGATTACTTAAAGCAAAAAAACAAGACTACAAAACCTACTCACAATTTCTATGTACTATACCTCTGAATCACAGTAAATGTTTGATCGTATTTTCCCCAATGTTACTATCAATTTCCAATAAGATTTACTGTAAACCTAATTTTTATCCAATGTGATTGGGACTGAGAGTTGATTTTAAGTAACAAGACAAATGTACATTTGGTTGCCAAAACTGATTGATTCCATTGATTGGAATCTTTACCATCATCCCTGCATAAATATACTCACATGTTATACATAGTTTCCAGTTTTGGTTGTTTTGAAACAGAAAAATATTCTAAGGGTATTTCCAAGCAGAGATTCCTTGAATTCCCTAATTGCCATCTTTTAACTCCTAGTCTTTCATAACTGTTTTACTAACCCCTTCATTTCAAGTTCATTTATTTTAGTGGTTTCCCTTGAGTTTTTCCAAAGTGCTCAATTTCCTTTTCATGTCCTTTTTACAATCTTACTCAATAGTCTGTATTTGTATTTCACTGATCAAACATAAACAGCAGACAAATACTATCAACTCTTGGCAACAGACACATAACACAAATGACAGGAGCTGAATAGTTAGTAGCAGCATACTGGAGCAGCTTAAAGTTTTAAAGAAGCCATAGAAACCTAGGCCATAGTAACCTAGCAATGTGTTTTTAAAAAAATGAGGAAAATCATTAATTTGGCAAGTCTGTTAAATGCAAGTTGGTTAGGGAAGACTATTACATATTCACATAACAAAATATATTTCTATGATGTCACTGCTTCAGGGAACTTTTCCTGATGCTCCAGATTAGGACAGGTAACCTTAATAATACTACCTAAGTGAGAGGTTGAGTTGTTACCAATGCACAGAAATGAGAACTCACAAGTAAAGTTTCTTGACTTTGATACTATTTGAAATTTTGGGCCAGATAAAACTTTCTTTTTTGAGGGGCATCTGTTCACTCAGCTGCAGCTGATAAAATTTTATTATGGGGGCTGTTGTATCCACTGCAGGATGCAGCATTCCTTGATGTATGATCACTGTCTTGCCTACTCATCCGAGTTGCAGCAACATGCGATTTTCCAGACGTTACCCAAATATTCCCCAGGGCAAAAAACTGACCCCCATATCCCACTGAGAACTTCTTCTGTAGAGGTATCCAAGAAATAACTGGATAAGTATTCTTTCCTAATCTACAGTGCCCTCTGTGAAAAATGCAACAAACTTGAGGTTGTAATGTAAACTCTATTTCACTGTTAACAATTACAGCAGCCTTAGATACTGAGCTACAAAATTTTTCCGATGATTCCTCAGTCTGTCACTTGACCCTTTCACCTTAAAATGTGCTAATGTTTACTACATGATTTATTACAAATGGTTACATGACAGTTTTCAAGGTAATTAGGTAAAATCCTTTTGAGTAAGACACTTTCCTTATGACAGTTCTATAGCAACTGAAACAGACTCATACTTGGCATATAATGCAAGGTGACTGAGGATATTAAGAAATAACATGTGTATACCTGTACCCTTTCAACTGATTAGCCACAGAATGTATAAGAGAAACAATGTTGTTTTGAACATCTATATATATACACATACATCTCTGTTCAATGTTTTTGAACCAAAATTCCTGGCTTAAAAGATATGCACATTTAATATTTTGATCTGAATAATCAAACTGCTGCACAGAAAGACTATGACAATTTTTACCACTGTAATTGTAGTAGTTGATTGAAGACCAATAATAACAGTGAAAGGTAAAGCTTATGGAGAATATTTTCATATGCCTGGGAGGAAAAGTACTAATCATAAATTTAAAAAAAGTAGCAAATTTAACTACATTAAAACCCAGAACTTCTGCTCATCAAAAGGCACAAAAGGAATGGAAAGATAAGTTGCTGAGTTTCAAAAGATATCAGTTACCTCCTCCCAATACACACATATTTCTATCTTTAGCACAGAATACTACTTATTTTTAATACAAGCATAGAATCAAGAAAAATGGATAAAATAATTATATACAATTATTCCACAAAATAGGAAATCCAAATAACCAATAATCAACCATATGCAGAAATGTTAAACTTCATTGGTAATTCAAACACAACAGGAATCAACTACATCACTACTGGATTAGCAATTATACAACACCCAGTGTTAAGTCTACGGAGGCATGAAACAAAATTTATCACTTTGGAAAAGTCTGGCATTATCTAGTAAAGTCGAAGAGCAGCACATCCTGTGATCCAGCAACTCTAATTATACACCTATAAGAGCATACTTAAATTTAACAGCATATATGAACAGATGCACTACTGCATTATTTCTCTTGGTATATAGCTGGAAAAGATCCAGTGTCCATCAACAATACAAGAATACATTGCAGCACGTCCATACAAAGGCACCTACAAAAATGAAAATGAGAAGATGGTGGAATAGAGAACTGCATACAGTGGTAGGCTAGGGATAAATAATGGAAAACAAAAGGTGTAGGAAATACATTCTCAGGGGAGAGTTAGAAAATTGCAGTGGACATTCAATGGAAGGAAGAGGAACACTGCGGATCTGTGCGCAAGGTACAGATGCGTAACACAAACAGGGACACAACACATGACTCCAGCAGGTGAGAGCTGAACCAAGTACTAGCTTTGGAGAATGAGGTGAGATCAGACTGCAGCAACCTGTACCACTGGTGATATAGCCAGAGAGTGTGCTGTGAGTCTGGCCTAGAGCCCTAAGGGGGAAAATGTACCTACTAACCCAGTGGGGA